ATTGGCAAAAACGAAGAAATTTAACAATGTCAGGTGTTGGACAGAATATTCGAATAGGTATATAAATGGTACAGTCACTTTGTGAAACATTGAGAGATTATCTTGTAAAGCCAAATACTTACTCCATAGACTAGCCATTCCATCCCCATGAACCTCTTTCTTGTGGGCCTCAGGGCAATTTTCAGAACCAGACAAAACTGCCAGCAACTCTATCCACTGATAGAATGGATTAAATAGTGACACAGTGGTACATTCACAGCAAAGAATATTAAACACACACACATATGAAATAGAGAAGCAATAACAACATGAGAGAATCTTAGAAACAATGATGAAAGGAAAAGAAAAAAGCACATGTCTAACAAGTAAATAGTATAATGACATTTTACATATATCAGTCCACTTAATTCTTCCAACATTGCTCTCATTTGACAAGTGAGGAACTGGAGGCACAGAGAGTTTAAATAACTTGCTGGCAAGGGGAAGGTTCCAAGATCTAGCTAACATTTACTTCATGCTTACCATACCATGTACTTTCCTAGGTTATTATTTTATGAGAAATGCTCCACATAAAATGTCCTTGATTTTTTTTTACCTGACTAATCTTTCTTCCAAAATCAACACCTTGAGTTAGGAGTGAATTACCCAGTTTATCATATGCCTTTGCACTCTTCCCCTACCCCTATCACCAAACTGCAAACTCACTGAATAGTTGGATCTTTACTTAAATGGTCTTCTGAACTATTTTCTAGATTTCTCACTTGGAAACAGTGTGACTCACTGTTAACACCCTAAAGCCCTAAAGCCTTGAACTTCCCTTTAATCTACACTTTTCAGAAGGCCAGTAACTAAGAGGTCTGAAAACGAAGGAATTTTATTCCCAGGAAGCATTCACATACCACCCTGCCCTCCACCCCAGACTTTATGTGACACTCCTGAGACCCAAATGATGGAACTTGAGCAGCTAGAGGAAGGTCATTTCTTCTTGCTTCACAATCTTAAGAATGATGCTTGTAAACCTGTGACTAAGCACTATTATTGCAGGAAGGGGAGGAGAGCCAGGAATCCAAAACCTGTATTTTAATCTCAAGTTCTACTACTTAGCTGTACAACATTGGGCAAGTTCAAATTCTCTGGTGTTCATTTACTTTAGTTACGCACTTAGTTCAGTCAGCCTTGACAGGCATTTATCGAATGCCTCCTAGGTGCCATGCATCCTGCCAAGCATGACACCCTGACAAGCGCTGGGAATACCGGGATGCATAAGACCTTTAGCTACAGACGGCCGCCCAGCCATTAAGGAGCTTTCTTTCCAGAGTGAGAAACTATGTTATCTTGGTGCCTGGGATGGTTAAGCAGAGTGTGGGTAACCTTGTGGTGGAGATGTAGAGACTGGACAATGGTCAGCATACTCTTGTGGTTAAGAGCTTAGCTCTGGGGTCAGTTATAACTAAATGTATCCTGGCTTTAACTGATGAACTCTGTGATTTCTGGCAAGTTACCTAACCTCTTGAAGAATCAGTTTACTCATCTCTAAAGCAGATAATACTATATATACTGTATTATATTGAATAGCTGTTTAAACAATGACAGATCCATGCAACGAATAATGAGGTAAGTCTACAAATATTGATTAAAAAATGCTATTCATAGTATATTGTTAAATTAAAAAGACAAAAGAACTGTGTGCATAGTATGGTTCTGTTTGAAAAATGAAGATATAAACAAAGATATATGCATAGACATGCTCCAGAAGGAAACACAAGGAATTTCTGTGGTGGTTACTTCTAGGAATATAGGAAGGAAATGTTTGCCTCTTAACTGAATTCCCTCTGTACTGTTTGAAAACTTTACCACGAATATGTTTTACTTTTATAATTAAAGAAAGAAACAAAACCTCAGCTTAAAAATTCTAAATAACAAATGGGAACCATTGCAATATGTCTGAAAGTAGTTTTCATTACTAAATAAGTTGCTGCCTTAAAGATGAACTTTCCTGTGCAACTCTCACATTAGTTGATTCCTCCACTCGAGGGAAGTATTTCTTCATTTACTTATCTAACCCTTAGCTGTGCTTGCTTTATGTCAGACACTATTTTAAGTGCTCTCATCATGATACAATCATGAGGTGGTGGTTGTTATCCCCATAGTGGGGATCAGGAAGATGAGGCACATAGAGGTTAAATTACTTAACCAGGGTAATGTTGCTAGTAAGCTCTAGAACTAAGATTCAAACCCAGACTGTCTGGCTCTAGAGAAGCCATGCCTTAATCCCTGCTTTTGTTGCCTTTGGAAGTCTAGAAGCTTTGAGTTCTCGCCAGGTAATCTGGTTGTATGATCTCCTGAAAGGAATTTATGCCATGCATACCCCCCAGCTCTCCTCAGGACACCCCAGGTCCAACCTACCCACATTTCTGACCCTTTGTAGGATCTAAGAGGCAAACAAATGCTATAGGAGAACAAGACTAAGCCCTGCTGGGCATGGAGTAATAACAGGACCTTTTAGCAGCTCTCAAGGTCAGTACAATACCTCAACACAGTGTATCTTTGTAGAAATATTCTTACTGTTAATTGGCATCTTCAAAGATGAAAGGGTTGGTCTCAGTCAGCTGTTAGGTAAAATGTAGCTGATCCATTACCCGGTAGAGACTGTTGAACCAAGAAGGACTGCTGTGGAGATTAAAGGCTGAACTGATCAGCTGAATTCCAATGTTTTCAACATATGTCAAGGTAAAAAGGATTTTTTTAGCTGGAGAGACATGAAAACGCATGCCTTACCATCCAAGTTTGTTGAATGTGAATGTTCCTTGTAGGTGTTTCTTGGTTACCATTTTCTTCAGTATAACCTCAGAGTTGTATTAAGCTCTATCAAGGCTACTTTTTGTAACCCTAAGAGTGGATTGGTTGATGAAATGATGGGTTCTTGTTGATGGGTAAATAGGACACCAAGATTATCTAACCATCTCTTTTCTTTTGCTTTTTGATTGCCCTTCATTCTAACAGGTTGATGCTGAAAGCGTTCTCCACAGGCAGCGGGTTCTCTGGGTGTGCATGCGGCCACTGGCCATCCCAGCTGGGAAGCTCAATGAGGAAGGCCAGTCATTGAGCGGAACTGTTTGAGGCATTTTGGGTGGTTCATTGTTCCTTGAGGATTCTGAAACTGGATGCACAACTCTGTGTAAGAAATAAATGCTTTTTCCCTCCTGTGGTTCATTGTGCATTGTGGATTTGTGCCTGTGAGGGATATGTCATCCTATAGGACTGCCATGGGCACCAGAATGTCCCGGATAGGAGCAAAACATATACTGATGGCCAAGGAGGAAATTTATTTAAGACAAGGTCCGGGCACTGGGAAAGCTTTGTGTTTTTTTTTCCTTAAAGATGAGCATCATTTATCCTATAGAGATCTAGGTTTTCAGTGTGAAAAGACTCTCAGGGAAGTGAACCTTCTGGTTATTTTATTAGCAGACCACCTAAACAATGAGACACACTATTACTTTAGGTGGTACCTAGTTTTGTGAAGATCCATAATGGTAGGGACAAATCAAAGTACTTAGAACTAACGGTTCCCTTCTGGTGATGGAGTAACAGGCTGAGTTCATTGCTGATAACATATGATTTGGTTTTGCCAAATCTTGATCCCGAGCTGTGCAGTTCAACATGGTAGTCACTGACCATATGTGGCTAGATTTAAATACTTTAAGATTAATTAAATAAAATTAACAAAAATTAAATTAAAAAAATTCAACTCCTCAGTCATCCAAGTCACATTTCAAGTGTTCAACAGCAGTATGGTAGCTAGTGGCTACCATAAAGGACAATGCAAATTCAGGGAACAGTTCTATTAGAGTAGAATGTTCTATTGAACTTCACTGATATAGAAAATAAATAGGTCTCAAAAGATAGTCTATCAAAAAACACCATTTAGATGCTTGATTGGCCACACCAGGGAGATTCTATCTAGTTTTTATTCTGAACCTCTAGATATCTGAAGGATTGCTAGGAGGGTGGAGGCAGTATGATTTTAGCTTTGGGTGTGGACTGTAAAGCCCAATTTTTTCAGTAAAGATAACCTTCTTTGGCAGATCACTGTGGACACGGGTCATAGGCAAGTAGGTAAGAGGATGCTGAAAGGTTAGGGCTTACCCTGAATGAGGAGTGTGTGACTGGGCAGGAGGAAGTGCGTAAAGGTACTTTTGATACTTGCACAAGCGTGAGTGTGGCTATTTAGTTTCTGGAACTTTCTTTGGTTTTTGACCTCCTTACCTTTCTTATATTGCTAAAAATAGGTTAGGCATCTTAAGAAGGTGAATCTCAGCTTTCTTTTCTGGTTTAAAAGATTTTTAATGCCTTCCTCAAAGGCATTAAGGAAAGTATTTCTTTTATTAGTCCTGCTTCATATGCCTCTAAAACTTTAAAAGGATTTAAGGAAAGGGAAATCAAATGAAGGCTGATAATACCTCTCACAAGAGTTCAGGATTTCCCTGGCGGCTTGTCACATGAGGGTGTATCTAAGCCACTTTCAACAGTGGTGAGACATTTGACTGCCCCCTCCCATCTACGTCTTTTGATGTAGCCTCATGAACTGAGGAACTGGGAAGGAAAGAACAGTGTCTGAGGTCTTCATCTGCAGGGGCTAGGAGACAGGATGTTAAAGAAAGTTGATCAGAGGGTAAGGTGTCTCTCATGGAAGTTAGGAAGTAGGTCAAGAGATAGATGTTAAAAACTAAGTCACTATTCAAAGAACAACTAGAATTAAGAACAGAGAAACTAGCAACAGAGCCAGGAGTTGTCTCTAGTAACTGTAACAGGAGCAGTTTCCCGAACTGAATAGGAGTGTGGGTACGGGGAACAAAGAGGGGATTTCCAAGGTAGCAACAAAACATGAGCACTGGACCTTACTTATTTAGTCTTGGTTATTTCATCATCCTCTCATGCAAATCAAAGCTCCAGCATGCAATAAATACTTGCTGAATAAATCCTCCGGAAAGAAAATCACATTGAATGCATGAATTCCTTTATTGAAAATATTGGGCTAGCACTGCATTACATACACTCAATATCCATAAATGAAGGGCCACACATGTCTGATTGGACAATACTGTTTTAAATAGAGAACACAGCATCTGAATATGCTCTCACAAGTATAATATCATGGACTAAAGTAGATAAGAGTGAACTATATGCAAAATGACCATTTTGTTAATAGCATATGGTTGCAAATGGCATAAATGGTAAACGTGATCATACTGAGACATTCCTGGATCTCACACAGGCACATTATGTAACAAGCAGATTAATAAGGTTCAACTGCCAATAAGTTGTTAATGAAGAGTTCGCAATAGAACTTGGGTGAAAGTACACCCAGGCTACAGATTTAAGATTTTATAGCATTCAAAGAAACTTGTGTGGAATGTGAGTGTAGTAAAATAATTGTTGATCTGACAGGAGGCCACATGGCAATTTGTCTGTTCTCTTTTATAAATAGTCTAAAGTAAGAGAATAAGCTAAAGGAAGTATTCCGCCAGCTTAAAGCCAACATCCTAAGCACTGTTTACATTTTTAAAATGCAGGTCTATAAACTACTACTTTCTATTAATTTTTCCTTTCAAATATCACTGGAAATGTAATTCATGACAGACAGCTTTCTCAGCTTTGGCTATTACTTGACTTTTTTTTCCATTAGCAGTCTTTGGCTTTGTAAAAGTTTGACAATAATATTTGTTAAAATTTTAACAAGGTTTCATTATTAACTTTCATAAAAGAGTGTTTAATGATGTGAAAGTGAGTTGATATTTAAAAACTGCTTTTTACTTTTTATTCCAATTGTGGTATAAATGCATTTCTTTGCATTGAATTTTTTTCAATTGAAAGTGTAGAAACCAAGACAATTGGGATAACTGATATTTTTCATTTGATATAAAATATACAGAAATTAAAACATTCAGTCTCATTTAAAACAGAGGCCTGTTAATGTAAAAACTTGGGGAAGATTATGCAAAAAAATCCAATAAAAATACAATTTTTGTTACTAACACATGAGATTTTATAAGAAGCAAAACATTTCTTTTCAAAAGCAGGGTTCTAAATCCAGGATCATAAAGGTATACATTACTGTAAATATCAATTTATGACTGTGAGAAATGGCTTATTCTTCTTTACACAATTATGTTCAGAGTAAATAACTAAAAATGTACCTTTTCAATGACAAAATGGAAAGATGGCCTACAGCAGGCAAATCAATAAACATTGAAAATGAGTTTTTAAAAATTCAGAATTGTCTGTGGGTATATATATGTGTGTGTATATATATATATGGACATTAAGCAGCACATACATATACAGATCACCCTAAACAATCAGGGCAAAAAAAATTTAATATAAAACTATATAAATCAAATGGATTTGTTGCCAAAACAGCACAAAACGTATACATTTCTTTACTTCAAGATTTGACACATTAAAAGAAAAAAATTGCCAACACATTTCAAACAATATACTAGAAATAATAAATAAAACAGTTTTAAAAAATCATATATTCCCTTTAAGTGCTGTGCACTTTCAATTTTTCTAAATGAGACTAAACTTTTCAATGGCAAACAATAGTATGCTGTACATTTTGGTAATGAAAATTATGTTGATAAATATACAAGGAATGTATATACTTCTACAGTATTTTCTTTTTCACAGTTACCAAAAATAAAAATTGCATTCAACTCACATCTATAAATATTCTGACTCCTCACTCTATGGGTTTGAAGGAAGTGAGAGTATAAAGTCTTTCAATGATCTGAACTTCAAATTCTTTCTTCATCGTCTGCCTTCCACATGTACCTTTCAGAATCTCTCTGCAATGTAAGTGCGCTCTGAGATGATGGCAGAAAGAAAGCACTATGATGGGATGAGGCAGTCTGGGCTGGGGCTTCGTCTTCCAGCTAGCTTTAGCAGGGCTGACTGAACCCAGTCTTTTTAAATGTTCTATTTTAAGGCAGTCTAAATGTCACTCGAATGTCCATACCTCAAGGTCTTGAACTATGAAGTCTTCCTTTTTGGAAAGAATATCATTATTAAAAGTGCTGCAGGAGTTGCTTCGTCCATGGTATAAATCGGCATCTAACCATAAGCCAAATCGTCCCCTACAAAGGTTAAAAAAGCAAAATGGTGAAAACATCTCAATTTTATGTACACACTTTCTGTCTTCCCTTGCCCCAACTTCTTTCTTTTATGCTATAGTCAAAACCCTAAACTGCTTATAAAACATTTCCTTTATTTCATTAAAATGACCTGTCTTTCAGGTGATCCCTCATTTGGACACATAAATAAGTCATTTTATCTTCTATTCTTAGTGTCATGTGTTAGACCACACTGTCCTAAACAATCGACTAACTACACATGGACCAACTACAATCAGCTGATACCAAAGTTTCAGTTCCCTGGATTAAAACAGACCCACTCTGGTAAAGTAGTAAATTAATAACAACAAAAACCTTACCCTCCACCACCAAGTTCCAAAGAACTTATGTCTCCATTGATAAAGTATGAGTTTTCTCCACTCCACTTAAAGACCTTAGGTAGAAACACAAGACAAAGAGAGATCAGACATTTCAATCTGGAGAATTAGCAAAGAGGGAGGGGACCACCCATAGGCTGAGGAAGCTCCTGACTTCTAGACCTTTCCCACACCAGGATAAGCTCTCTGAAGCGGTGATGAGGCAGGAAAGGTCTCTCGCACACATGTTGGCTCTGACCTGCAATTCCACCCTGGATCTCAGAAGTTACATGCAAAAGTTCCCAAGGCCCAGGAAGGGAATCAAGCGGTTTCTATGCTGCGATCATGAAGTGCTGAGCAGGCTAGGGTGAGGCCAAGTGAGGTTATGGGATGGGACGTCTACCGCTCCAACCACAGCCCCCCACCTCCAGCGCCACCGACCCTCCTGACACCATGATACAAGGACGTCAGTATTCCTTCCATCTAGGTACCTTGAAATGAGGGCTAAATGTGTAGAGAAAAGTTTCGCCTGTGCCATAATAGTGATCACTGAATTTGAAAGGATGAGTCGCATATGCTCCAAAGATCTGTCAAAAGAAAACAGAAATGTTAGTAGCTTTCAAACATAAACCTCCCAAAGAAAGCCCTTCTGAAATATTTTAGCATAATCCTATTCTGAGGTCTCATTATATCTCTTTCAACAAGATTATTATGAAGAACATTACTAAGTCAGAGTTTCTAAGTAAAAAAGACCACCAACCAACAAATAAAATGTCCCTGGTTCTTATTAGTACCCAAGGGGCTCAGAGAACTTATCGGTCAAAGGTCAACAACTGCTTCAATTTAAAAAGACTTCCAAAGTCCACTGTAGAGACAAATGTCTTCCAGTGAATACAGGTCACAGACTGGAACATTAAACAACTACAACATATATCTTGCACACAGAAATGAGTGGTTGGGAGAATGAGGGCCTGTCTCTGATGTGTTTTATAAGTAGAATCACGGTCAGATATTTCCCCAGAGAAAATAAATTTTCCTCTCCCTTGATTCGTAAAAATGAGTTTTCAGTATGCTTAATAGAACTGTATCCGTAACGTGACTGATCCAATACATCTTAGTTCAAAATGACTTTTAAGAAAAAAGTAACAATTCCATAATACTGTGGGCTTTCAAGGTGGTTTAGATGTATCTGAATCAAAGATTTTGTCTATTTTTTCTTGTTGGGGTTGGAAGGAGCAGTGTTTTCAGAATGACCATCCCACTGCTTCAGCTTCCTAACCTCCTCAGGTCCTGACGAGTACTTGCAGGGGTGAAGACTGGTAAAAACAAGCATACATATTTTGGAATTGTCCCTAGGTGATTCTGATATATCTTCTCCAAATCCCACTTGAGAAACAATGCTTCAAATGGAGTCTATCTGGAAAATGTCTTATAATTTTTCAAAATAATTTAAATCTGATTATTATCATCATGGACTCTCTGCTTCAGTTCCTAGCTCTTTGAAATACTAAAAATTAAGCAGAGTAGAAGTCTAGAAACTCTTTCTAACCCATGTTCCTCATACCAAAATCTCTCCCTAGAGCTGCTAAGAGCAAAGAAAAAACAGTAACAAATTTTCTTAGCAATCATAGAAATTTTTTTAAGCACTGGAGATAGGATGATACTAAGAAATGACAGTTAATTTTTTGGATATGCATCATTATGGTTATGTAAGAAAACATTCATTTTATTTTTTATATTTATTTAGAAAGAAGCTGTATAATATGTATATAATTGTAGTGTTGGGTCTATAGCATCTAAAAATTTAATATATTTGACAATAATAGAACAAAGGAATCCAGGGAGGGGAAGGAAGATAGCCAGAAGCGGAAAAAGGAAGGTTAATATGACAAAACCTATAAATGCATAATTGCTCTCCTGCTCTCAGCTTTCTTAGTAGATAAAAATCACACAACTACATAAATGACAGTTTATTGTTGACTTTGCAATATATATCAGTGTTATCCCACAAAATTACCATAAAAAGTGGAACGATGTAATAGAACAATATAGGAGTGACATTTCTATACCTCACTGGAACTAAGTCTGAATCAGACTCTGTTACTTGATGATTGCCCTATTATTTTCCATGGTGCCTTGTGGTATAAATTACTTCATGGCAATTCTCATTCAATTATGTTTAGGCCCCTTTGCCATGGTAGTTTCCTCGGCCAGTCTGTGTAATTTATCCCGACTCCAGGAAGGCTCTCCTCAGCTGTCTCTTGCCCTGGTTCTCTCTGGGAAGTCTATAGCTTAGTCTGCGGCCTTCATTCAGCTACTAGCCTCCTCTTAATTGTTTACCACCAAATTTGCATTGTTTTCTAGACCTCACTTTAGCTTGAACTTCCCCCAGGTTCTTCTAAATAATGTCAGATCCTTAGGGGACAGCTTCCGAGCTGTATGCTTTATGGTCTGCCCATTCACCTGGAGCTGGGAGCTAGGGACTCGGCTTGTTTTATGAGCAGAGGGTGCTGGGTAGGGGCAGTGGCGACTGGTCTTGGCTCCCCTCTTCTGACCTGTAACTTCAGCTCCATGCTGAAGCAAGGGCAGCAGACACCCCGGTATTCTCAGCCTGCTGTGCTGAGGGTAGACCAACCATCCTCCGAGAAGGGCCGGTAAGGGGAAGAGCGCCCCCTACTTCCAGGCTGCCCTTGCCTGCAATTCAGCCTCTGAAGCAGAAGGGTGGGTAGGGTGTAAGAAATGCTAAGGACCTGCCTGGGGGCTGGGGCTGATGGATCCTCATCTTCTTGTCCACGCGTGCCCAGAACGAAGCCTGTGTCTGAACAGGGCCTGGTCGGGGGGCAGGGGGGCCGGGAACAAGCTATACTTCAAGTGCCACAGACTCTCACTGTTATTACCGAGATTCATTAAATATTCTTTAAATGAATTTTCACTTGCCGTATGCCCTTAGGACAATATCCAGAGACTTTAAGTATTATTGTTTTTATATTTCCCATCAGTAATGGCTGTTTCACTAGGGATTGGTTCTGTAGAACTCCTCATGCCTGCTAGTCTGCATGTGTAATGCTTTTATATTAGAATTATGTATGGTTCATTTCCAGATAAATGTACAGATGTTGTGCTATCATGTTCCCAAACACAGTGGAGCTGCATCCTTGCCTTGGGGGTAGATGGGATGGGGAAAGCAGAGTTAGTGTTCAGCTGCCTTCAAATAACACAAATGCCTTTCAGTAAGATAACACCTCAGAGACAAATAGTGTAATCTTCAGGAATAGGCAGGCCTCCTTTACATACCTCTGATAGGAAGCTGAGTAAAACCATGCATCATCAAAACCTGCTCTGTGAGGCCAACAGATTTCCCAACAAGTTTGCTATCTATTAGTAACTTAATAGCAGAACTAATCTATACGGACAGTGCAGGTTTGTGTGTGGTCTAACACCATCTAGCCCTATCTTATCTAAAATGTAGCACCTAACTTTGCAAACATTTCATTAAATCTCCAAGTAAATTCCATTTTAAATCTTTGTTGTTATTATTTAATTTTTTTTACTTTGCCGCTCTCTACTATTCAGCTTGGACTATGATTAAATAAAGTATTCTCAATCTGTAAATAACAGTAGTAACAGTGATAATAGCTAAACCATTCCCCACAATTCTTAACCTATAATTATACTGTAACCTACTCACAGGAAAGATCACAGTCGAGACAGACAGTGCCTTTAGTACCGCTATCTCTGATTTTTCCCAAATTATGACAGCAAAAATCTATTTCCCCTAAATTGATCCTAATTATATGGCATTTCAGCAAGCTCCTCAATGTATAATAGTGCCCCACACCTAACAGACACTCGTGCGTTTTCTCAATGGATGCATAAATAAATGGTTGTCAAGTAAACCCTGCTTCCAAATGCCAGAAAGAGAGAATAATGATAACTACATCTTAAAAAAGCAAAGAAATTTCTTCTTGCTATAATACAGATCAAATTGAAATGGTCTTTAAAGATGAAAAAGCAGACTTGAAAGATTTCATCCTTTTGTAATGCCGAAGTTGCCCTGGATGGTTTAGAAAAGAAACCCGGACAGATTCCACTCAAACTCCCAGCTGACTGAGCCAAAAATTATTAGTATAGGGTAGATGGGAGTAATATCTATTAATAGATTTCATCAGGGCCTCCAAGACCAAGAGAGATGAAACAGAGATGAAAGTGAGAGAGATGAAAGTGTAATAAGCAATGGCCCAGAGCATTTTCTCCTGTTTCGTAACAACTGGGCCCATAAGGTACAACACACCATGCGCTTAACTGGCTCTCCATCTCAGGAGCTACGCAGACAAGGTTGGTGGGCACTACTTCAGCTACCTGAAAAGAATTCTGGGATGCCACTGAAGCTTCTTTCTGCAACTATCTCCAAATCTCGACTTGAATTCTTCCAACTTCTCCAGTTTCAGCTTGCAGGATATCCCTGTAGCTTCCTACTCTATGATGAGAACAGGGAAAAATGTGACTGTACCAGGAGACATGCTCCATTTTCTTTTTCAGAGATGCATTCTGAAGTAAGTCGGGGTAAAACAACATAATAATTGGGGATTTTACTTCAATTCTTCAGGAAAGAAAAGAACCAAGTGTCTGTGGCAAAATCCTGCTAACTGTGCGGTCTGGCTGATGGGAGTTCATTGTATCAGTCTCTCTCCTGCTGCATAGGTTTGAGAAACTTCAGTGAAAAAATGTTTCTCTATAAGAGGAACAAGCCTCACCTGATTATCCATATCTTTGATGACCAATAGGACAGGACTGTCTAGTGCTGCTGACTTCCGGTAGAGAGTTTTCAAGCTGGTCCCATGCTCTAGCGTGCTGTACGCGAGTCTCCATGGATACCCCTGCACCCTTGCTGGAAGGCGTCGGGCCAGCTGTGAATCCAAGGATGGAGATGTAAATATACAGGCTGCCTGAAAATCATCACGCATGACCTTGTAGCACCAAACAGATGCCTGTGGCTCAAACTCAAAAATCACATGACTTTCCACATTGCTCCCCTTTACGCTAGCAAACACTTGCCACTATAAACTGAGAAGGCAAAACCACTGCTTGACATTGTTTGCCTTGGCAGGGATGCTCCCCAGAGCATGTATTCCCTCTCAGGGATGATGCTGTGGGGTTACGGCGCCACTGTACATTTGAAGTTAGACCACCGAGCTTGAGTAAGAGGTATGGATTAGACCCATGCTGTCTTGTGTACACTTCAACCCGACTTTCACTGAGTATTTTACCAGCTGATCTTTCTAAACATGCCAAGGCTCAGAGCTGTTACTGACAACTGAAGTGTCTCACCAAACTGAGCACAAGAAAGCATGGGTATTTTTTGCCAGTAATCTGATGTAGTCTGTCCTCCTTGCAGTTGTATTTGTCACTAATTTTAATATTTAACTTGATTTTGGCTGTCATAGGGCTTCCCAGGTGGTGCTAGTGGTAAAGAACCGGCTTGGCAATGCAGGAGACGTAAGAGATGCAGGTTTGATCCCTGGGTCGGGAAGATCCCCTGGAGGAGGGCATGGCAACCCACTCCAGTATTCTTGCCTAGAGAATCTCATGGACAGAGGAGCCTGGAGGGTTACAGTGCATAGAGTCACACAGAGTCAGACACGACTGAAGTGATTTAGCACAGTAGCTGTCATAAATATCAATAATGCATATCTCTTAAAAAAATACAAACAACGGAGGCTGTAAAATGTTGAAGTCCTCAGAATGCTTGGCATAGTTCTAGGATCAGCATGAACTCTGTCTCTGTAACTGCCTGGTCAAGTCACTTAGCTTTACAGGCCATCACAGATGCTTTTATAAATTGAGGGACTTGAACGTGGTGATTCTCTAAGGTTTCTGAATTTCAGTTTCTAAGCTGATTGATGGGGGAAGTACAAGAGATCCCTTTCTAAAGTTCAAACTCAAGCACATAGTATTTCAAGAAAACGGAATTAAGAGATGCTCAGGAAATAGAAAGTAAACAAAACAAAACAAAACTAAGAGAAAGAAAAGTTATTCCTAGTAGTGATAGATGGTTTTCACAAAGCAAGTTAAGTGTACTACGTGACGTTTACTGAACCTGATCAATTAAAACCATGGGAACTCTGAGATAAATGATCCTTTTAAAATATGTTAGGACTATAATAGGACACTTTAAACATTATTCTGAAGACAAGAAATGGCTTTTTGCTCAGGTCTCGGGAAATGAATATAGGTGTCTGGCCAAGTCCTCCGTCTCCCAAGAGGGTGGCAGGGACACTGTCTTTCTGAAACAGGGGGCCTTGGCCAGGCTGCTGGGGTTTTCCTTTAAAACCGGACTCACTCTCCACCCCAGGTGAGAAGAGCAAATGGTTTTAAGGTTTGGAAGGCCTCTACCCTCATCCCCAGGGAGAGCCCACCTGCTCAATGTGCATGTTCTCCAGAAGCGAGCTGTGGGGCTGCAGGATCGGCAGGGCGGCCTCGTCCTCGTCTTCATAGTAGCTGCACGTGCTCTTCCTGCGTTTTGCCTCCTCGACCGTGATGATCTGAAACAGAGGAGCCAGGTAAACCAAGAAAAAGGATATTCTGGCTTTTCCTTCACCTGCTATTAACAAAAAGGACCTCAGTTACATGACTGCCTGTAACCACTAGGGTTTTAGCAGCAGGACATAAATTGAGCCAAGACTCTTGGGGGGAACGGCTAATTACCATCTGGATTTCAGAGGAAATGCAGAATTTAACACAGTGTGGCTGCAACACTTAGTATGTACAAATTAAGTCACAAGTTTTCCAGTTTTGTTACTCTCGGTCATCAGATAAGAATTTTGTATAATTTCACAAGCGATTCATACCCTTGAAATGCCCTAAATGATTCTCCATTAGCCTGCATCTAAATTTGAATTATTAAGGGGGTAATTAGAGATCATAGTATGAGTAAGCCTTCTATAAATAGAGAAATTGGGAAGATTAAGGGTAGCTTTTTAATCAAGACTCCTAATGTTTCCTCTCAAGGCCAGGCACATAGCAACCAACCTGACAGAAACAGCGAATGATGATATCTATGGAAAATAACAAAACAAAGAGGCATCAAGCTTTAGTCTAAATTATAATTATGTTATGATTCCTTATGGGCAGTTCAGAAGCCATCAAAGTAGTATTTCCTTCAAAGCTTAGAACAGAAGCATGATGTTGCTACATACCCTTTATTTCACTGTAAATACACTTATCAAGTACCAGTTTCGAATCTTCTCGCTTTTTGCCTCTCTGAAAATCTGGATAAGTCACCAAATTATTTTGAAATTGAAGGGTATAGAGAGAAGGTAACTAACACACTAAAATACCTGAGTACAAACAGGAATGATTTTTTGCATTATAGAGAAAAAGCATTTACGTCACCTCAGTGAAAAGTTGCCAGATAGTGACTACTGTTTCCAGAATGCTGTCACCTGAACCTGATTTATAGGTAAGGAAATTGGCCCTTAAATTTTACCATTTTCTAAGGGGCATTTACATAAAGGACACACTGTCAAAGAACCACAAATTCAGCATTTTAAATGTGTTACGTAAAGCACATGTTTCGGGGGATCTCTGCGTTTAACACAAGTACAAAATGGGGCTGCAGAATGAGAAAGTAAAGTGTGGAATTTTGACTCCAAAGGGAATGGGCAAACCACACCTGTGTCTCTCTCCAAAGTGAATAAAAGAATAAAATCTTTTAATAAAATCTTTGAATGAATAAAATCTCTCTGGCTGAGAGAGCAGTCTGATCCTTTCTAATTAGAAAGCATTTCAAAACGTCTGAGTGGCAGAGCGCAGAGGGTCCGCAGGCACCTGATTAGCTGCCAGGACCGCAACATACCTTCACAAAAGGCTCTTGGTCCGGTCTGGCACAATAGAAAATCTGAGTGTCCGGAGGCAGTCTTCGGACTCGCATGGTGAAGGGGTGGGAACTGCCTTGCCTGCTTGCTCTCTGAAGAGGAACAGGTCTTTTGCCTGGCTGCTCCCACAGCACTGCTAGCCACGCGGATCTACAACTGCTTATGCAGTATCTAGTTTCCTGCAAGATTGAGTTTCTGTTTCCCTCAGGAGAGCGTTCAATATTTCTACAGGAACACACCCAAATTAGGATTTCGAGCAAACACACACTTCCTGTTAGGCATAGCTGTGAGGCTGTAAAACGACACTTTCACCTTTGAAACGGTGGTGGTTTCCTAACAGCACAACAAAACCTCATTGTTGCGCGTTTTTTTCTTTTTTCCCCCTTCTTCTTCATCTTGAACTTTTCTTCCTAACTGTCCTCAGGCTGCCTGAGCTAGCTTTTTTCTAGCCCTGCCTTCTCAGATTTTTTTTTTTTTCCTGCATCTTCTCTGAAGGGAAATCTCCATTTTAAAACTTTGAGTGTGCTCACTGACATCAGTTTGAATCTCAAAAGGAAAGATGAAAAGGAGGCTTTACCGGAGATAGGTTCATTACATTTAGAACAATGGCATTTCACTTCAAGACCCTGTTTTGTTTGCTGGGTATGAGAGACGTCAAAGAAAGGAAGAACATCTGGTTTATATGAAGCTGAGAAAAATGTTCCTTTCGATTTGGTTTTCCAAAAAGAGTTGGCAAAGTGATATTTACCTTTTAACCTTTCAAAATATTAATCTTAATGACAAATAAGCATGATGAGTCTTCCTCTACTGCCCAGATAAGATTTCTAGGGGTTGGAAAGAAATGCAGATCACTGCTGGATCAATTTTCAAGGATCTTTCTGTGAGTTTTCCAGGTCAAAAATGGCCTTTTGGTCTCCGGTACCCCTGGGGGATTGAGCGCCACTGCACAGATCATCCCAGGGGTCATGAGGCTGTGGAGGAAATCTGGTGGCCAGTCTCAGGCTAGCCCGAACTTATTCTCAGTGCAAGAGTCTGGACACAATCTAGGGCAGAATCACTTGGACTCTGTGCCAGTGAGTTGGCATGATCTTCAGTGCCTGATGCTTCGTGACAACTAACATTTGCTGAGAGCTTTCTATATGACCCCAAGTGCCAGCTGCTTTGCAAGGCGTGACACAAGCAATTACAATATATCACTTGTCAGCTTTTCAAATTAGCAGAAGTCTTAAGAAAGGAATAATAGCTAATAAGGCTTTCTGTTAGCAGAAACACAGTGAGAAGGGTATTCCTCACATTTCTGGCAAATTGTCATTATATACAAAATTAGGAGCCTTAAAAAAGTAATACCCTTATGCTAAGTAATTTCACTTTCAGGAAATTTTAGGAAAAGAGTCAGAGTTATACATCATCTCATCCTTGTGAAAAACTTGAATGAACACGATCTCTACAAGTGGCGGAATTGTTAAATTTTGATTGAGGTTTAAAATATGTAACCATTAAAACGAGGCTCCAAAATCTTTAAATACGATACAATTCTCACAAGATGTCAGGTAAGAAAAGTCAGATACCAAACTATACATAACAATGATCTCATTTTACAAAAATAAAAAGACTCACTCTCTCTACCCTTACCCCCTAGAAAAATACTCTATGATAGAAAGCATTTAAAAACTGTATGAAAGTGTTGTGTGGTTAGATATTATTTTTAAAATATTCTGCATTGTACTTTTCTATAGTTTTCAAATTTAATATAATAAGCAGGTATTACTTTTATAAAATCAGGAAATAAAGCTTATTTAGAGAGCTTGGTATGGAGGGTGGACTGGTGGTTGGGTTGGCCGGAGGTGCCCTTGAAAGGGTGCAGACAGCTGATTAGGGCAGTGGGCCCCACCCCACATAAGATCAGAATCAACAAATTCCAACTAGAGATGACTGAGGATGAAAGAGAAGAAGGTGGGATGATATTTAGGTTTCTGATTTGGGGAACCACTAATTAAGATGGGAAGGCATAAGGACAAGCGAGTTTGGGTGAAAGATTGTCAGGGAATGTTTGATAGGAGGATTCCTACGTGCTGTCTCTCATGAGTCCTCTGTCCCTCTTCAAGCAGAACAGCACGCTGCTCCCAGGGACTGAGGTCATTGTGTGAGGCAGGCTTGGGTCTCCTTTAGTAAACATTCTCTTTAGGACAAAACTGCTTCGTCTCGTTCCCCTTTCTTGAGATATGGATTGCCTCCTGACCTCGTGACTAACATTACCCCTTGTTCCCTTGGTAACGGTTGCTGTACGTTTGGTTTTCTGATCTCTATCATTCCCGAAAGAAGTTTCTTGTACCGCAGCCTATATATACTCATAGGAAAATCATTAAAGCACCTTTGCTCCATCAGAGCTTAAGTCCCTGGGTCTTTTTTTGTCTCTCTCTCTCTCTTTCTCTCTTTTACTTTCTTATCGTCGACTCCGTACCACCAGGTTCCGGTCCATTAAAGGACCCCAACAAAAGATGACGGGACTTCACGGACAGGCTGAGGATCAGACACCTGTTAGGGGAGTGAAGGTTCCTCTTCCCCACCCACAGAGGAGAAGCAATGGGATGCCAGGGGCCCGGCTTTAAGGTAATGCTAGCAAGCCGAGTCTGCTCCTGCACATGGGAAGGAGCCTGGCCAGCATTCTTCTCCTCATTGTACTTTTGGACTTTCTTGTCCATGTGGCAAGAAACTGGGATAACAGTCCAGTCACCTCTGTCTCCCGGTATCTTTTCTTTCCATGTGCCCCAAGTGCTAACAAGAGCACTAGGATCTTGGAAGAGGCCACCTCCCCATTTCTTCCTCCTCCTCCATCCCTTCTTCTTTTCTTCCTCTTCCGCCACAGGTCTAGAGACACACCTTCGAGAGGGATGTGCTCTTTTATCCTGCTCCGTGGCTCAGTCCGAGCGACTCACTCAAGCCCACTCGACTCTAGACCCAGAAGCACACCTTTTTCTCTCTGCATGCCTCCTTAGCGCCTTTTCTTCTGTGTTGGTGGGTGTGGCCACTTCTCCCACTGGAGTTGTCAGGAGCTGAGATTCAAGGCTGGGATTAGTGGAAACAGGCAGAATAGGCCTAAATGAGGGCTGCTTCAATTCAAGCTATCCAGACCGAGTCAGGAAAGGTTTGAATTCCCAAAGCAATTGAAACCCTCTCTCCAGGCCTCCATAATCGGGCAAGAGACCACAGCCTTTGCAAGAAAATACACCTTTCCCAGCTCTGCTGCCTCTGCGCACATATCTCATGGGGGCCTCGTGGGCACAGATGGTTAGATGAGGAGGACAGGAATTGATATTCCTTGATACCTTAGCCAGAATGCCCGTGCCACACCATCTCTGCCTCGTGGAGACCCAGGGGTGCCCGTGGGGCATCTATGTGCTCTAGAGAGGCAGCTTGGAAAGAAAGAAGCATGTGAAGCTGACATGTGGGAATATGCAGCATAAATCTCAAAAGCTGATGAGCTCATCCAAGGAAGATGTAATAGATGAGAAGAAAAAAGAGTCAGAGATAAACCCTTGGGGAACACCATGAGAAAGGGAACAAGCAAAGTATATCTGAGGGGCCTCCCTGGTGCTCTAGTGGTTAAGAATCTGCCTTCCAATGCTGGGGACGTGGGTTTGATCCCTGGCTGGGGAGCTAGGATCCCACATACCCCAGGGAAACTAAACCCAATGAGCCATAATTACTTAGCTCGAAACTACTGAGCTCGCATGCTACAGCTAAGACCTGACGCAGCTAAATATAAATATTTTTTTAAAAGTATACTCAGAAAGACTGGCCAGAGATAGAAATAAAACAAACAAAAAAAACCCAGAAATGATAAGAAAAGCCAAGGGAAGGAGAGTCTAATAGGCTTGTGCTGTGCCGTGCTAAAGTCGCTTCAGTCGTGTCTGACTCTTTGCAACCACAAGAACCGTAGCCCACCAGGCTCCTCTGTCCTTGAGATTCTCCAGGCAAGAATACTGGAGTGGGTCCCCATGCCCTCCTCCAGGGCATCTTCCCCACTCAGGAATCGAACTTGAGTTTCTCACATCTCCTGCAGTGGCAGGCAGGTTCTTTACCACTAGTGCCACCTGGGAAACCCTATTTTTAATCAACGGTTTCAAACAAGAAGCTTACGAACAATGTGAAAACAAACATGCAAACGAGTCAAGAGCTGGGCCACAGACCACAGAGCTAGGAGCAGGGGGCCAGGGGAGCACAGGAGGAGGAATCGACCGAAAGCCTCACAGCAGTGACCAGTGAACTGGACCTTTGACGGATGACAGGAGCCTGCCACAGCAAGCTGTGTGTGTGTGTGTGTGTGTGTGTGTGTGTGTGTGCGCGCGCGCACATCGGTGTGCACTCGGTGGGAGTGAGTGAACGAGAAAGGGACGAGTGAGAGCAAACACACACATGAAGGGACCAGGCATGTCAGAAGCAGTCAGACCCAAGGGGCCGGCTTCATCACCTTTCACCGTCCCAGTCTCACAGAGCTCCAGTCTTGGAAGATCCGACGGCCGCTTGAGGAATCTACACCCAGGTTGGGAGTGTTGCTGGAGAAACCTCACCCCCCGCCACCCCCCACTGCAGCCTGATGCCAGACCCCACCGGGGCCTTCCAGGCAGCCGTCCTCCTGCAGTGCATCAGCTGGCATTATTCCTAATTTCTATAGCTCCTACTCAGACCTTCTCCGTATTCCTCCGAGTCCTCCCTTCTTCACTTCTAGGAGACGCCCCCTTCTGCTGTTACCAAGAAATCATCAAATGAGCAAAGCTATAATTTATATAATACCACCACTGAATCTGCATTCTATTCACACACATCCTATTCTTTTCTGCTGCCTGAACACCTAAGACCAATCCTATCTCCACCCCCACATTCCCTGCCAATTCTCAGGGATCCAGTTCCCCGCTTAGCCCCTCTCTTAATCTCTTATCTTCTGAACCCTCTACTCCACTGTTCCTGCTGACCTCTTCCGAAAGGTTAAAGTCTCTCTCACAAGAAGGAAAACCTCCCACCCTCACATTCTCGCCCAGCTTTCCATCTCATTTTTATTCTCCAGAACCAAATCTAAGTGGTTGGCCCACAGTCACTAGCTCCATTCACTCATCCTGGATACATTCACTGAATGTTGGAAGCTACGTTTTGAAGCTGCCACTTCAATGAATCTGCTTTTTATGCCAAAGTCACCGACTACTGCCCCTTTGGTTTTAGATACACAAGACAAACCTTAGTTCTTTCTTGTTGACTGATCCCTGGGATCAGAACACAGAGCACTTTCTACTAAACCTAATCTTGCTATGCTCCTTATCACAGTGAAGGGCTGGTATCTTGATCCTTCCAGTTTCCATTCTAAAAACCAAGAGATCAATCTTGACATCTTTCTTACTTTCCACATGTAATTAATTACTCACAAAATCCTGTCTTCCTCCTCCTATCTTTCAAAAGCACTCAGTTTCCGCTGTCGTCACTATCCTTCTTTCAGCAACTGCTCGCTCTCAACAGCGACTACTACAAGAGCTCCCTAGTGCGTCTTCAAGTGTCGTCCAATTCCAGTCAACTGAACATCTGCCGGCAAGAGCAGGCTCTCCAGCATGCGTGTCTGTGTTTACTTCTCCAGGCTCAAAACAGCTCGGTGCCTTCCTACTGCCCTTAGGAAAATAACCAAACTCTTCACAAGCAGTTCATAGGTCCTCTGTGATCTGCCATTTCACTATCTCCAGCTTCGTTCCTTGCCACTCCCTCAGCTTTGCACTCTATGAACCAGCCACGCTGAGCTCTGTATTAATTCATCAAAAGCCCCACACTCTCTGTTCCTCCCTTGGGTCGTCCTCTGCACAGCCGACTTTTCTCTCGGGCCAGAACATGTTCTGTGTCCCACTTCCACCCCAGCTGCCTGTCCCCCCACTTCTGACCTCAGCTCGGATTACTCCTTCCGGGTCACTTCCTTTGATCCCCTAGCTCCACTCAGGTACCTGGGTACATGCTTCCCTAGCATGTGGCACTTCACCTATAATGGCAATTACCTCATTATATTGTAATGATTCTTTACCAACTGAGTTATCAGGGCTCAGCTGGTAAAGAATCCTCTGGCAATGCAGGAGACCCCGGTTTGATTCCTGGGTCGGGAAGATCCGCTGGAGAAGGGATAGGCTACCCACTCCAGCATTCTTGGGCTTCCCTTGTGGCTCAGCTGGTAAAGAATCCTCCTGCAATGTGGGAGACCTGAGTTCGATCCCTGGGTTGGGAAGATCCCCCGGAGAAGGGAAAGGCTACCCCCTCCAGTATTCTGGCCCTGAGAATTCCATGGACTATACAGTCCATGGGGTCGCAAAGAGTCGGACACGACTAAGCAACTTTCACTTCACTTCACTGCTGTAATGATGTATCCATACTCCTTGATGGTAAATTCTACTTAGCCCATCCACTGTGCTCCTAACATGAGAAGGGCTTGCTAAGTGCTCAAAAAATAAATTATGAATGGTTTTTCAGACCAAATTAAGAAGTTTGACTTTCATCATGTACGTAATGGGGACCCTGCAGCAGTTTCAAAAAAGGGAAGTGAAATTACTGGCTGGTAGGTGTGGTGATAAGTGTCTTTGTGATACACAAAACTAGTTTCAATCAGAGGAATACGGTTTTTCCTTATAGGATTTCAAAGGTGCACAGGAAATCTTAACTTCTTGCCAGCCATTAGTGCTTGGATTTTGGACACAAGAACATTCTGTTTGTGCCTTGTACTTTAAGGACAACAGTCTAACCCTCCTGAGTCTCACCTCCCAGCTCTTGGTGGTTGGCTCACTGAAGAAGTTGTCAATCATATTCAATTCTTCTTTCTCCACCACCACAAAGCCTTGTTCTTTGGCATCTTTCCCATAGACGTCAGGAGACCATTGGACAAAGAATGTGTACAAGTGATCCACCCTGAAAAACACGTTTGCCATAGAGGTTAACACCAAATCTACAGACACGAGTAGGAACTTGGGCACGTACAACTATCTTTTTCCTGCTTGGCAAGTCCATGTTGTTACTTGGGAAATTGCCCATGTTGAAGACAATCTCTACCTGTGAATTCCAAATTTGGAAAATAGGTCATTAAATGCAAGCAAAAGTCCACAGACACTGAGAAAATGTCCTTCAATCTGAGGTAAAGATCAAGAAATGGGACTTAAAGATAGAAAACACAATGAAATATTTACACAGAATTTTTTTTTCTTCCTTGGATCCTCATTTATTGGATGTCTCTATTTACGGGGGAAAAACTGACCTAACCTGAAAACTGACCTGAAAATTTAGATGGGAACAAAGCAATATTCCAATGGGTCTTTATGTAGACTGAAACATTATTATATCATAATTTTAATAAAATATCTTTAATAACTAGAAAATATCAGGGATAATACTAGCTATCATTTTAACATTAAAAACAGACTTAAATTTTACCACCACTAAGAATGCAGTCTTGCCTTCAATATCTCTGTTCTCCTATACATATTTAACATCTGAAGCATCTCTCCAGACTTAATCAACAGACAGGTGGCTAGTTCCTAAGAAGACTGGGAACTCTCAGTCTTAGCACCTAAAATACCCCCCACCCCTCACCCATGTGAAAGAGTCAAAAGCTCTCTGACCTGCAGCCATCACAGTGGAGGTATAAAAAAGATAGGATCAAATGATTCTTAGAGTCTCTAATAATTACAACATGATAATTTCAATTTGAGTCTCCTGTTTGGCACAGTGCTACCTCATTGCTAAGTTTATAAAAGTTCTAACTGTAAAAATATTGTAACACTCTTGCTGTAGACTGAATATTTGAGTCCCCCTAAAATTCGTATGTTGATATCTAATCCCCAATGTGATGGCATTTGGATGTAGGACCTTTCAGAGGTGCTTAGGTTATGAGGCAGAGCCCTCATGACTGGGATTAAAAGACCCCCCGGAGCTGGCAAGCCCCCTGTGCCATGTCTGAACGCAGTGCAAAGACAGCCATCTATGGAACCAGAGCAAGCCCTCACCAGACACTGAATCTGCCAGCACTTTGATCATGGACTTCCAAGACTCTAGAACTGTCGTAATAGATCTCTTCTTTAAAAGCCACCCAGTCTATCATATTCTGTTATAGTAACAAACTGAAGGGGTTCCCTGGTGGCTCAGTGGTAAAGAATGCCCTGGCCGCTGCAAGAGACTCAGGTTTGATCCCTGGGTCAGGAAGATCCCCTGGAGAAGAAAACTGCAACCCACTCCAATATTCTTGCTTGGAGAATCTCATGGATAGAGGAGCCTAGTGAGCTACAGTCCCACACAAAAGAGTCAGACACAACTGAGCAACTAAACAACAACAACAACAAACTGAGAAATATTAATAGGATTAAAACAAACAACAAAAATGTCACCATCATTCTAACATTCCAATGGATCAAATTGACTTTAGGTTTCTATAGTCCTAACCTGTTCTTGATCATATGTACAAGGTTTTCTTTCCATTGTTATCAGGGCTAAGACATAATTGTTATATGTAACATTAAATAGTGCCTATTTGCCATTGTTGCTAATCTTTGTACTGACTTGTAATGGCTACATTTCAGAAGAAATAAACCATAATTACCCAAATTCCTATGTCCTTGGGATGTTTAGTTTGTTTCCAATTCTCTTTCTTTGATTGTACAAATAACACTGCAATGAATATCCTCATGATCCATGCCTTTTGTCATCTTTTGAATTATCTCCTCAAGATTAGTTCCCAGAAGAGGGATTATTAGGCCAAAGGGCATGGTTTTATAGCTCGTGATCCATCTTAACAAACTGCTCTTGAAAGCCTGACTAATTTACTCTGACAGGAGCATTGCAGTTTGCATCTAAGGTAATAATCTTGCTTATCCTTTTTTTCCCAAATGAATTTAATATATATTTTAAGTTTTATCCCACTGATTCTATATTTCTTTGAATGGTAGTGGGTTGAACATTTTTCAAATGTTTTCTTCCTGGCTGCCTTCTATGAATTGGCTCTGTGATTGTGGAGTCATTGTTTTTCTTTTCAATATATGGGAGCCTTTATACAATGTAAACATTAACCACTGCCAAATGTTTTTCTAAGCTGTTTTTCCCCTTTTAAGATAATTATGTCTTTTCTTTCATAATATAAAATTCTAATTTTCATATATTTTAAAGGTATAGTGCCTTTGAGACTTCTACTCCTTCAAAACAAGGGAAGTTGGCACCCAAGACAAGGTGTATATCAGTGTGCTATGATATGCTAACCATTTCTATTTTTTTCTAAAAAAAAAAAAAAAAAGAAATATAGATATATGTTATAACTGTACATGGCTGTGATAGTTAATTTTATATGTCAACTTGCCTAGGCCATGGCCAGCCTTTGGTCAAACAGGAGTCTAGATGTTGCTGTGAAGGTATTTCTTTTTAAAGCTGTGATTAACAAGTAAGCAGCCTTTCAATAAAGCAGATCACTCTCCATAATGTGGGTAGGCCTCAGCCAATCAGTCAAAGGCCTTAAGAGAAAAAGACTAAAGTCCCCAAAGCAAGAAGGAATTGTCTCTAGATGCCCTTCAGGTTTGTGACTATAATATCAACCCCGCCCTATTCCTCCAGCCTACCAGCCTACCTTGCACATTTTGAACTTGGCAACCCCCATAGCCATGTAAGACAATTCTTTAAAGGAAATCTTTCTCTGTATATGTGTGTATCTGCATACAGACATATACACCTACACATACACACATCCTCTCAGTTCTCTTTCTCTTGAGATCCTTGACTAAGACAACAGACAACCCTGAAAAGCTATGTAAGTAACTGAGGTGAATGGTTATCTCTGGGGAATGGAATGAGGTAGAAGAAAGATACACTATATATATCTTTCCTTAAGTTATTTAAATTTTTGGACTTGATAGAACATTTTTATAATTTGAAAATTAAAATTACATTTAAAAAAAGCAAATAATGGGAACTTTCCATCTCACTCACATCCCTGTCCGTCACCTTCTGGGTCCACCTTTCACCGCTTTAGGTGACCACTTTATTATCTCCTTGTGTATTCTTGTGGTGCTATTTGTATGTTGTTCATTGCTGTTCAGTCGCTAAGTTGTGTCTGACTCTGCAACCCCATGGACTGCAGCACACCAGACCTCCCTGTCCTTCGTTATCTCCTGGAATTTGCTCAAACTCATGTCCATCGAGCTGGTGATGCCATCTAACCATCTCATCCTCTGTCACCCTCTTCTTTTTCTGCCTTCAGTCTTTCCCAGCATCAGGATCTTTTCCAATGAATCAGTTCTTCACACAAGGTGGCCAAAGTACTGAACTTCAGCATCTATCCTTCCAACGACTATTCAGGGTTAATTTCCTTTAGGACTGACTGGTTTGATATTTATATCTATTTTTATAGCTAGAAGTAAACATGAATATAGATTCTTTTCCTCTTTTGTTTCTATGAAAAAATAGTACTATTCTCTAGCTTTTTTTGCTTAACAGTAGAGCCTGGATACCTTTGCACAGCAGTAGAGAGATGGCTTCCTCATTCTATCTTTTATAACTACACAGTACTTTACTGTGTGGATTTACCCTAGTTTATATAACCATCCTCTCTAACCTGGTCACCTGGCTTGTTTTCAAGACAGTGCTGTCATAAACTATGCCATGAGTAACTTGGAACGTCATTTTTGCATGTCTTATAGATAGAGCTCTACGATGTATTCTCAGAAGTGAGACTGTGTTATCGGAGGAGCAATTCACTTATGGCATCAGTTTCTGCCCTCCCACCAGCAATGTTTGCTCTTTTGAATCTCCAAACTATTTTTATCATATAATATGACACTTCCTATTAAAAGTTAACTTAGAAACAGTAAACTAAATCATCACTCCAGAAACGTTGATAAGTATACAATTCTAACTCTTTTTGAGCTTTCTAACACTTAAAATTTAGTTCATCTTCAGCGTGTTTTAGAAAAAAGTTGAGAAGCAAATATGCTTCACTCTAACTTCTGTAAAAGGACACATTTATTACATGCTTACCCACTTCAGATAGAATGGCTTCCTAAATATATGTGAATTAGCTTATTTGTGAGAAAGAAGAAAGCAGTTCCTGATACATGGGAGTTGGTCTGTTACTATCGGCCAGGTCCCAGTGGTAAGAGGAGCTGGCCTAGCACTCCCAGCTCGGCTCTGGTAATCTCCCACTGAACATAAACAATTCCACAGAACATTAACATCAGGCAAAGACACTCTATGACCATGATGAATCATGACAGAGACGAGACTGCTGAGGTCTTATATCTGAACACAAATAGTGTTCAACCACAAAAATGACCAAACATCCCTCTAATCTGGCTAATATAAATGACTGTGCTACTTCACCAATTATGGCATTAGCCTCTCTAGTTTTCCCTCCCTCAACATAGGATTTCTGCTTCTAATCCAGTGCAAAGTCCAACTTAAAGTTCTCCCTCGAATCACCTAACATACATCCTGTGACCTCTTTCTAGCTCCCTCTAACTAGAAAGGGCCCTAAGATGGCCTTAAGTCCCATGCATTCTACTTCAATGCAATAAGTCGAGCCAGCTCATTCAACTTCAGGGGTGTTGTGGTCCTTGGGTGTGGGGCATCACTTCCTTAAACAATACTCTGTGTGCATCCACTATGTGCCAGTGACCAGGCCCTGGAGGAGCTACCTTCTGGAATATCAGGGTTGGAGATAGAAGGTATCATTTAATCCAGCTGACTCTTCTTGATATAAGAGAATGAGGGCGTTAAAGTCTACTATGAGCGTCACAGCCAGGACCAGATCTCCTGAGGTGACAATCAGGGTTCTTTGAATCACATCGCAAAGTCTTCCCCATATGTATCCTACATTGATTTCTGTACTGGTTCCCCGTTAATGTCTGGGTTACGACACAAGACACATTTCCTTAATC